GTTCATCCATATGATAGCATGTGACAGAATTTCCTTCTTTTTCAAGACCGAATAATATCTCACTGAATGTGTTTAGCACATTTTCTTTGTCCATTCATCTCTTGATGGACATTTGGGTTGGACTTTTGGCTATTGTGAATAATGCTGCCAGGCACAGGGAAATCTTCTTGAGATTCTGCTTTCAATTCTTTTGGATACATATCCAGAATTGGTATTGCTGGACATCATATGATAATTCTATGTTTAACTTTTTGAGAAACTACTACAGTATTTTCCATAGCAGCTGGGCCATTTTATATTGTTATCAACAGTGCACAAAGTTCCAATTATTTTCATATCCATGCCAATACAAAGATATAGTAGAAAATACAACATTGTTGTGTTAGTCGCTCAGTCGTGTCCGACTCTTTGCGACCCCATGGACTGCAGCCCACCAGGCTCCTCTGTCCATGAGATTTTCCAGGAGAGGATACTGGAGTATTTTTTTGATAGTGGCCACCCTGGTGATTGTGGTGAGGAGTGTTTTGTAACCTATGGGAACCCATGCTCCTTTTGAAGGAAAAAAGTCTCAAGCCCTTTAAAAATGGTATTTGAAATTTCAAAATAAATTTAATATCTTATCCCCAAACAAATCTCAGCAATGGTAAATTTACTTTGCTTTCCCAATCAAACAGATCCTAAAGTTTCACCAGGGAGACTTCCTCCCTGCAATAAAGTTTTTCATCAGAATTTCCAGAGCAGGGGTTGGCAAATGATAGTTCACTGATCAGATGTAGTCTGCTACTGTTTTTGTTTATTCCTAGAGCTAAGAATGATTGTTACATTTTTTTGATGGTTGGGGAAAAATAAAGAATATTTTTTTATATTCTTATACAAAAATAATATTTTGTGACAAGTGAAAATTGTATTAAATTCAAATTTGAGTGTCCAATTCAGTTCTCAGGAGGGGCTGTGTGCTGGTTCAGCCCCAGCTGAGAGTGGGCCGAAGTGCAGAGCCCTGGAAGAAGGAGAGAAGCTTAACCACAGTTTGGGTAACAAGCATTTGGTTTGATTGATCAGTGGAGATGAAACAGTTCAACTAATCATTTATGAAGCAAAGAATGGGAATTTGTAGGGTCACTGTTTACCTTTGTCATAAGTAAGCAAAGGGACATTCTTGAGTGTTAGCTAAGTCATCTGGGAAAGAGTGATTTTTTTGGTTGTAAGCTGTTTTCCAGGACATGAAAGGATGTCCTGGAAACCATCACTGTTTCAGGTAATATTCAACACTGTCAGTGGTAAAACTCCCAGGATCCAAAGTCAATAAATTTGTGACATCCTCGAAGGATGCTGAGGGGTGAGTCAGATTTTTCCAAGGCCCCTCAATGCACACTCTGCTGAACATCCACTGGTGGAAGTCTGGCTGGATGGGAGTACTCCTGATCTTGATTGAAGAGGTCACTGGCCTGAAAAAGGAAAGGCAAGGGTTTGAGAATGAGATCACCTACAGCTGGCATATTCTCTAGCAACTCCCTCTTTAACCAATCTCTAGCTCACCGTATGTGGTCCTTTTTTTTTTTTTTAATGAAAGAAGAAAAAAGACAAGATTGTTTTAAGTTTTCCAGGCTTACCACTTCCCACTTAGAGGAGAACTGGGGAGAATGTGATTATCAACAGCAGCATCAACAGTCCAATTCTTAGTTGAGCTATGTCTCCCTTTTGGAGAGGGTGTGTGTGTGTTCTGGGGAAAGGCTTGGGTCAGCCAGTATGGCAGGTGGTGGTGGGGTTGGGAGGGGGCTGAGAACTTAGGGTAGTTCTTTACCATTCCATTCAGAAGTATTGTTGTTGTTCAATTGCCAAGTCATGTTTAACTCTTTGTGACCCCATGGAGTGCAGCACACCAGGCTTCCCTGTTCATCATCTCCTGGATTTTGCCCAAGTTCATGTCCATTGAATCGGTGATGCCATCCAACCGTCGCATCCTCTGTCACCCTCTTCTCCTTCTGCCTTCAGTCTTTCCCAGCATCAGGGTCTGTTCCAGTGAGTCAGCTATTTGTATCAGGTGGCCAGAGTATTGGAACTTCAGTTTCAGCCTCAATCCTTCCAGTGAATATTCAGGGTTCATCTCCTTTAGGATTGACTGGATTGATCTCCTTGTTGTCCAGGGGACTCTCAAGAGTCTTCTCCAGCACCACAATTTGAAAGCATCAATTCCTTGGCATTCTGCCTTTTTTATGGTCCAGCTGTCACATCTGTACACAACTGTTCGAAAGACCATAGCCTTGACTATACAGACCATTGTCAGCAAAGTGATGTCTTTACTTTTTAACACACTGTCCAGATTTGTCATAGCTTTCCTGCCAAGAAGCAATTGTCTTCTAATTTCACAGCTGTAGTCATCATCCACAGTGATTTTAGAGCCCACGAAGAGGAAATCTGTCCCTGCTTCCACCTTTTCCCCATGTATTTTCCATGAAGTGATGGGACCAAATGCCATGATCTTAGTTTTTAAAAAATTAATTAATTTATTTTAATTAGTTTTTCTTTAATGTTGAGTTTTAAGCTGGCTTTTTAATTCTCATCTTCCACCCTCATCAAGAGGCTCTTTAGTTCCTCTTTGCTTTCTGCCATTTTAGTGTGGTATCATCTGCATATCTGAGGTTGTTGATATTTCTCCTGGCAATCTTGGTTCCAGCTTGTAACTCATCCAGCCTGGCTTTATGTTTATATATTTTCCCAATAGATAGAGCCAAAGTGGAGTATGTACTCTTAAGTAAGCCCAGGACATCTCACCTTCCATGCTCACAGTTACATTATTGCTAATGATGCCTATGTCAGATTTGCAGGAAAAAAATCAAGTCAAGGTCCAAGAATAGGAAATATCTGCCCAGAGAACTCCCTCTCTAAAAGGTCCTTTGCCCAGAGAGAGGATTTCTCTTTGTCCATCAAGTGAGCAAGAATAAAAAGTGATTAAAAATAGTCAAGAGTTTAATATATCCATACACCCAAATGTTGCATCCTTTTGTGTGCCCTGAGAAGATGGATTCCTGATATTGGCAGAGGTGAGAGACACTCCTCATGGTCCTTGCATGGTGTGGGGATCATGGTGTGTATTTGTCTAAAAGGTGGAGGATGCCAGATGTGATGTTAGCTCAGGACCTCAGACTTCAGCTTCTGCCCACTTCACAGGAAACAGTGCCAAGGACAGATTGCTGTTTTGGACCCATAAACAGTGTAAATAAGCTTCCCAGGTGGCACTAGTAGTAAGGAACCTGTCTGCCATAGCTGTTCCATTTCAGTTAATCCTCTGACTTAAATGCCAGTTGAGCATCCTAAAACCCTTTTCCTTTCCTCCTCCCATCTTGAAGCTTGTTGATTTGGGGGCTAACTTCATAATAATACCACTGTTCACATACTTATTTGTATGCCATTTCACAGATGACAGTGTCCAGAGTCTTATCAGTGCTGGGCACTGAGGAAGGAGGGCTCCCAGGCATCCCTGATAAAGTCAGTCTCCCTTCACACAGATGCTGTGTATTTCAGTGGCCCCCAACCTTTTTGGCACCAGGGACTGGTTTCCTGGAAGCTGGTTTTTCCAAGAACTGCAGAAAGAGGGATGGTTTCTGGATGATTCAAGTGCCTTACATTTATTGTGCACTTTATTTCTATTTTTATTCCATGAGGTCTACCTCAGATCATCAAGCATTAGATTGTGAGGTATATTTCACATATACCTCACATATTAGATTGTGACCCCTGGTATATTTCACAGTTTTCTTGCTTCACAATTCAATGCCTGAGAACTTCCAGGTGGGAAGCAGTGAGGATAGGAGGCTAGGTTTAGAAAGGTAGTCCCAGGCACAAGATTCAGCTACATTACTAACTAACCATTTGTGACCTTGGGCAAGACCTAAAATTTCTCTGAGCAACAAACAGGGTTTTAAGTAGAATAAGTAAGGGGTGTGCATGCTCAGCTGTGTCCGACTCTTTGCAACCCCAAGGACTGTCATCTGCCAGGCTCCTCTGTCCATGGGGTTTTCCTAAAAAAATACTGGAGTGGGTTGCTATTTCCTCCTGCAGGATATCATCTTGACCCAGGGATTGAATCCATGCCTCCTGTGTCTCCTGAATTAACAGGATTTTAGTTGAGGCAATCCCAGGTTGTTCCTCCTGCTTCTGGATCCAAGTTAGGTGTCAGCACCTTTGCACTGCAGTCAGAAAAGGGAGGGGGCAGCAGGGCAGGCCCATTAATAGGGTCTCTGATTGCTCTGGGTTCCCTTCAAGGAAACCCTGGTGCCTGCCTCCCTGCTTTCCTGAGGAGAACCAGCAGAGTTGCTTCCCCTTACACCATGACTGCCCTCTCTGGCCTCAGCCCCACTCCAGGGTGAGGGCATGGGGAGGAGTCATGCTGGGAAGGGGATTGCCAAGCCTTCCTCAGGGACAGCCAGGAGCCAAGCCTGGCTTTGCAGGAAAGCACAGCCTGGAAGAGTAGTGGTATTAGCCCTAAGAAGAGAAGGGAAGAGAAGAAAACAAATGTAGGCTCCTCCTCTGCCTTGGCTAAACCTTTCATCCTCCCCAGGGACAGTGGCGGCCCAGGAGTGTCGGCAGGCGCGGGAAGAAGGTGCCGGTCGCTTGGCCCCAGGTGAACCAAGTACACAAAGTAGAGGAAGAAAGTCTCTCTCCTTAATGCCACTCCCCTTCCTCCCCTCCAATCCCCAGTAAAGTCTCGGGACAACCTCTGCACACGGACCCCTCCAAGCGTCGTCATCCACCCTGGATCATCAGACAGGCGCAGACACCGCCTGGGTCCTCCTCAGTCCACCCGGGGTGGGCACGCAGCCCTCCCTGCAGCGTCCTCCTTCTCCCCGGCGCCGAGGAGGGGCTGCCACCCGCGGAGTCAGAGGCGGAGCAGAGGCTGGAGGTGCCCCGGCGCGAGAAGACAGTAAACCTTTGGCAGGCAAGGGGTGTGGGTCCCATTGGGAGCCTTGGCCTCTCACCTGGGCCCAGCCCGGCCCCCTGAGATGGGCTCCGTCTCCTCAGCGCTGGCGCGGTCCCGGTCCCGCAACGCCGTGGTGCAGTTGGGCTCGTCGCCGGCGCCCCAGCCAGAGGCGCCTCCGGCTGCCCCCGCTACTCGCGGAGACCCTTTCGCGCTCCAGCAGACCCGGAGGCTTGGCCCAGGGCGTGGAGAGGCGGCCACCCGGCCCGCAGCCTGGGAGGCTCAGCGGGCAGCGCCGAGCCCGGAGAGGCAGGCGAAGTTGGCGAGTCCGGAGCTGTCCCCGGTGCTGAACAGTGAAGAGAGTATGCCTGAGTCCCAGCAGTCTCGAAGCCCCAGCGCTGCGGGTAAGTTTCCTTCTTTCTGTAAGGATCGCGGGAGTCGCTCCGTGGAGACCTAAGGGGGCCCTTTTTAACTTCAAAGGGAGAAGCGAAAGCTCCGTCTCTCAACAGGATTTCGGCTTTCTTGTTCTCTTGCCCATAACTTGCCCAAAAAATTACCCATTAACTTTCACAAGTTAAGACTCATTTCTGACTCATTTCAATAAGGAGTTATTTCAGAAGGATCATGTTTCACAGGCGTTTAAACAGTAGCTGGCAAGGCAGTTTACCCTCTAAGGATCCCTTTCCCCATCTTTGCACTGGCGTCCGCACCGCGGGGAGACATCGTCCTTGTTGTTTTGGAAAGACAAGGATAAAGGAGGTGTACCTTTCTCCCAGGGGAACTGGGAAAAGGACAGGAGATTCCTGCTTGTCCAAGACTTATCCACGTGTGAAAAAGGAAACCTGTTTCTGCTGAAGGGACGTTGGGTGTGTGCTTGGGGAAGGACATTTTAAGGGTAAAGAGAGAAGTGAAGAGAGAACATGAGATCTGGGGTTGGTGGTGGGTCTGAATCTCCATCTCCTGCTTTCATTGTGATCTTGGGTAGGATACACTCCTTGTGCCTCAGTTTTATCATCTGTGACATAGAGATGATAATAATACATTTCTCACTAGATAGCTAGAAAACCTAACCAAACACAGTGCATGTAGAAGTAGTGAGTGCTATACCTGAACCAGATCTCTAAAACTTTTCAGCTGAAACTGAAGGGAGTTGTAAAACTTTTCAGTTTTGGGTTTGAAATATTCAAAGGTCCATTTCATAGGGTAGGCCCTGTTTTTGTATAAGTGGGAAGAAGAGTCCTTTGTTGGTACATGTAATTAAAAAAAATCACACTAGAAAGATTACTAAATACATCAGCTGGTCTTTTGGTCTCATACATAAATCCTCACTTTCATCCCAAGCAAGGTTGTGATGCTCATTGCTATTATCCACTGGGTTTTCAAGAAGAACTCATTAGATTTAGTGGGCAATATTAGTTCCTCTAAAGAGAAAAAGTGGAGCGAGGGAGTGACTCACACTTTGACTCTTGAGAGGTCAGGATATATGTATCCTTATTCCCTTGAGAATTGTCTTTTAAAAAATATTGTGAGTTTATGGCTTTTATTTGTTATTGTTTCACTCAAACAGCTTTTTAAAACAAAAATTAAAAGAAGAAACATGCACATTGCCCTTGCATGAATTTGTCATTATAAAATATGCTAGTTTTTCCCATTTATAGGAAATTTTTGTGGTGTTAGTGGAAAGAGTACCAGATTTGGAGTCAGGATACGTAGGTCTTGCTAAGGTTTGCCTCCTAGGGCAAGAGACCTTTATTTTCTAAACCTATGCCATCTGCTCTTTTAAAATGAGTACAAATGGAGTTGTAGTGCCATCTCCTATGCCATGAGGCTCAAAGGAAACTATGGAGATAAAAATTGGTTTGTAAACTAAGTACTATACAAGGGTAAGGTATTACTGAAGCATCTGGAGGCTTAATATTTTCTAACGTGTAGGATACAAAATTTGTTTAGATGATCTTATAGTCTATCACAGTTACATTGGATGAAACATGGATTGTTTATGAAATGATTCAATGTTAGATCATATATGTGTGTGATATCAGTTAAATATTTAACCATATATGCCTATGGAAGAATATTAACATATTTTTCATCATACTTTTGGTGACATGGACAGTAGATTTGTATATTGCATAATTCCTGAAAACTAATTTCTAGGATTGAATTAATTTCTGTTCTGGATTTGATGAATACATCCTGGGAATACTATTAGCTTTACCTTTTTGATTGAATGAGATTCTTTTTTTCCATTCCTTCCACTTTCTTTCATAAAGAAAATTTCAAATTAAAGATGACATTCTGAATTTTATATCACCTAAGAATACTTACACAAAGTTATTCAATTTCTATACTTTGCTCTTAAAAAAAAAAGAACTTGAATCTTTGAAGTGTGGTGAGTTTAGATAGTTGAAATTGTAGATAAGGCTCGGTTTTTATCATCTTTAAAAATGAAATGAGTTACATTTACCTGGGTAGCCCTTGCTTGGAATAGATTGTATTTCTCCAGGTATTGGGTAGAACAGCACAGAACTTGTGAATCTGGGAGAAAAGTAGCTGTGCTGCAAACTAAAACCTTTACTTTACATACTAAACTGAATATATCCTTGTGTGCTGTGTACCAGATGTTATTTTACGAGATGGTGGGATGGGTCATTTAGTTATCATTTTACAGATGAAGATATCAAGGCTCAGAGAGGTCAAGTCACACAGCTAGAAAATGACAGAATTTAAATCTAAATAGTCGAGTTCTGGAATTCTTACCTGTTTCTCTATATTACTTAAGTGCTGTGGGTTTATTTCCCATTTTCCAGTCCTTCAGTCTACTAGTATTTAGTAACATTCCTTGAAAACTTTGTATTCTCTGAGCTATGCTCAGGGAAACCAAGGAAAGTACATTGGTTCTGGGAGGGAGCTATCAGATTAAGGAAGAAACAGTCACCTCGGATATTACTGTGGTGGTACTTAAAGCCAAAAATTTTAAGGGGAAAGTTAGACTTGGGGTGCAGAGTCAGGCCAGTAAGGCCAGATGTTTCCCTGAATCTACATTAAAGGCTCTGAGCTTCTGAGATTTGTCTAGCTGAGGATGATGTTAGTTTCCTAACTCTTCTCTCATGATACTGTTGTGAAGATATGGTATCAAAACCTGAGGCAGGATCTGGCTTATATTAAGCATGGTGTTTTCTAGGCTTGTTTGTTAGAACTTTGTGGCCCCACTCACTGGTATAAAGTAAGGACCAGGTTGATTCATTTTTAATAAAAGTTATCTCAGAATAAACCAATAACCATATAAAAAAACCTTCTACAACGACCCATCTATTGTATAATCATCAGAAGTAGGTTGTCTGAGGCTCCTAGCTTTTGTTAGAAATTTCTTTGGGTGGGGAGAGACTTTGACATTGTTGATTTAAGGTAATTTTTGGTTAATGATTTGTGTATTAAAATTGTTGGGGCTTTCTCAATTTTCAGTTGTTATCTCCTCACCCCTTTTTTGTACTGCTGTTTTAACATTTGGAAAGGTGTATCCTGCAAGAATTGGTTTCAGAATGCAACCAGTATTCGTCAGATGATGGTCTTGAAACACTGTGTTACTGAATTTGTTTTGTTTGTTTTTGGCTATGCCTGGTGACTTGTGGGATCTTAGTTGGAGAAGGAAATGGTAACCCACTCCAGTATTCTTAGCTAGAGAATCCCGTGGACAGAGGAGCCTGGTGGGCTGCTGTCCATAGGGTCGCACAGACTCGGACATGACTGAAGTGACTTAGCACGCATGCATGCATTGGAGAAGCAAATGGCAACCCACCCCAGTAATCTTGCCTGGAGAATCCCAGGGACAGAGGAGCCTGGTGGGCTGCTGTTTACGGGGTCACACAGAGTTGGACAGACTAAAGCGACTTAGCAGCAGCAGCAGTTCCTGATCAGGGACCAAACCCTGGCCCTGGAAGGGAAAGCACTGACTCCTAACACTGGACAGTCAGGGAATTCCCTGTCTTGGTGAACTTTATTGCCTGCTACTTGGTTTCCATCTACGTCTTCTGTGACTCCTGATAAGGTTACCGCCTTTGGGAGGAAAAGATTTCTTCTACCCACTTAGATTTAAAGTCAGGAGCCTGCAAATTAACTGACAGTAGCTTAAGAGGAGAAAAGACAAGGTTTATTTATATTCACCCGAGGGAGTACTTAATAATGAGTAACCTGCTGAATAGCTAGAGGTAAAGATTTATATACCAACTTGATAGAAAGAGAGGCTGTTTAGGGCTTCAGTGGGAAAGAAAATCTGAAAGGTTTTATTGAAATTTTCCATGCTAATGGACAGCTGAAACTGTACTTCCTAGTGCTAAGGGTCAGTCTTGTCTCAGTTTGGAAACTCCCTTGCGGGGAAAGGGGTTGTCAATGGCAGCTGTATTTTCTGGACACTCTGCTTAAGTTTTGAAAGTGTTCCCTGCTGTTGCTGTTGATCAGATGTTTTCAGTTTAAAGTAAGTGTCATACCACTGTGGTGGGCTAATAATCCCTTTACCACTGTTTGCCTTTAACTCCGTCCTCTCATATGTTAGAGGCCTTAGACTGCCACCTCTAGGGTTAAAGGGCAAAGATCCCACACACGTGTCATCTTTGGTGTTATATTGTCTGTAACTTACTCAAATTGCCCAACCTAGACAGTAGTTTGTGTGTGTCGGTATGTTTTTCATCTGCTTTCTGAGTGCCTAGTTAACACCCTATTGAGAAAGCTTATTCCTCTGTTCTATTTTCCCCCCATAGTTTCAATTTATTTGTGCTTTTTGGCTGCTCTGGGTCTTCGTTGCTGTGTGTGGACTTCCCCTGGTTGCACTGAGCAGGGGCTACTCTCTGGTTTGGTGCTTGGGCTTCTTATTGCAATGCCTTCTCTTGTTGGGGAGGATGGGCTCTAGGTGTGCAGACTTCAGTAGTTGTGGCTTGAGAGATCCACAGTTCAGGCACAGCAGTTGTGGCGCACAGGCCTAGTTGCCCTGCAGTATGTGGAATCTTCCCGGACCAGGAATCAAACTCTTGTCCCTTGCATTGGCAAGTGGATTTTTAACCACTAGACCACCAAGGAAGTCCTGTATTCCTACATTCTTCACCTGTCCTGTTCTTTCGACTGCTCCAGTTATGTCATGTCTAATTATATTAAAGGCTTTTAAAATCAGCATAAAAGTAATTAAGAGTAATTTTTCATTGCTTGCAATGAGTAATATTTAAGATATGCCAAGGAACTTCTGCCCTTGCATGAACAAGGAGTAAGAATCTGGTGAATCCAGTCCTCTATACCTACCCGAGGGACACCCTACTCTTAGGTCTCTGATTTGGGTGGGAGACAAATTATGAGGTAAGCTGATTAAGGTGTGCATATTGCTTCACAATAAATGTTTTTAAAAAAAAATAGCTGG